AAAATCCTCCAACCTTGAGTGATTTAAAACTATAGAGATTTGCAGGCTGTGCATGGTAGTGTATGCCTTTAATTCATTCTGAGTTTGAGGCCAGCCTGGTCTACAGAGTTGAGTTCCAGGACTTCCAAGGCCACACAGAGAAACCCTGTCTCCAAAACAGACTACTGAGCTTTGCTTGTAGGGTAGATCAGAAAGACTGCATGCGTTGGGTGGGGGACAGTTTATACACAGCTGATACACCTGTGTACTCTGGTTAAACTTCTCTTCCATCTACTTGGCCACAACTTGCTTGTTCAGGAAAGGATGAACAGCCATCAGAACTGAACATCCATATTGCTAGTGTCTAATGAAGCTCTGCTCCTTGCTCATCATGTTTTTGGGCTACACACACAGCAGAGTGAAGAGAACATCAGTGCTGCCCTCACAGAATGAGTACCTGATGTTGCTAAGCTTGTAAAGGCATTCTGATTCCTTCCTGTTTGGACATGGAGAAAGGATTCATTGAGAAAATGATCATGGATCTCTATTCAAGCAGCCATGAGAGAGCCTGTGCATCTGGTGTGCACCACTTCCTGTTCCTCTGTCATTTCAGCCCGTTTCCAGGTTTATCCCATAAAGGTCTTGGGATTTGGTGTGATGTCCCTCTCCTCACCACATTCATTGCCTCATAAACCATTTTTAACCTGAAAGTGGCTACAATATTAATAATAGTGATGGTCTTTCTATACTAACAAATATTAATAAAGAATACTTATGCTGGGCAGTGGTGGTACATGTCTTTAATCACAGCACTTGGGAGAAAGAGGCAGGTGGATGTCTGAGTTTGAGGCCAGTCTGGTCTACAGAGTAAATTCCAGGACAGCCAGGCTACAGAGAGATACCTTGTCTTGAAAAACATAATTAAAAGAAAGAAACAACAACATCAACAAAGATGGAGCTGGAGAGATGGCTCAGTGGTTAGGAGCACTGTCTGCTCTTCCAAAGGATCTGGATTCAACCCCCAGCACCCACATGGCAGCTCACAACTGTCTGTAACTCCAGTTCCAGGTGGTCTGACACCCTCATACCAATGAACATAAAATTATAAAAAAGAATATTTACTAATAATGATGGGGATGGAGAGATGGCTCAGAGGTTAAGAGCACTGCTTGCTCTTTCAGAGGTCCTGAGTTCAATTCCCAGCAACTACATGGTGGCTCACAAACATCTATAATGAAATCTGGTGCCCTCTTCTGGCGTTTAGGTGTACATGCAGGCAGAACATTGTATACAAAATCAAATAAATCTTAAAAAAAAAAAATGATAATGCTGACATACCATTCTTATATGGAGCTCATCAGGTACCAAGCTCTGTTTTAAGTGTTGTGTAGGCATTAATTCATTACTCTCCTCAATGATTATCTGAGGTTACTACTGTTATCTCCATTTACAGGTAAGGAAATGAAAGTAGAAGGGGTTGAAGTAGCTTGCTCAAGGCAGGAGCTTACATTCAGTCCAACAGAAAGACAAATATTCCTAGTCACCTTGTCTCTGCTTCCAAAGGAGCCCATTTAGCCTTTGTTTTACAGCAAACCCAAACAGTTACACAGTAGAGACTAAAATATGGCCCTGTCTTTCTAGATGTGTTGTGGAGAACTGATGACTAACAACATCTAGTTTCCTCTCTACTTACATGGTGTAGATACCATTAATTTAGGACTTCTTTTTAAATTATTTTGTTTGTAATTATGTGTATATCTCTGTGCTCTCAACTTGATACAAATTAGAGTTATCAGGAACCCTCAACTGAGAAAATGTCTCCTTTAGATCTGGCTGTATGGCATTTTCTTAATTGGTAATTGATGGGGGAGGTCTACCCATTGCGGATGGTGCCAACCCTAGACTGGTGGTCCTGGGTTCTATATGAAAACAGGCAGAGCAAGCCATAGGGAGTAAGTCAGTAAATGCTGGAGCCTACTGGCAGAGTTGAACAGTTCCTGAGTGGGGAATGAGGACTGAAATAATTAAAGCAAGTCACACTACACACAGGATCAGCCTAGGGCTGTCAGTAAGACTGCAGCATTAGTTTATTCCACAATTCCCTTTTAATAGGCAAAGCAAAAACAAGTCACATCAATACAAGAAAGAACTGCCAAACTTGTTTTCTAAAACTATTTCCCTATAGCAGATATGGTCCAAGGTCACACAAACAAGTTTTAAGGAACATCCTCTTATTTCTGTCTCAAGGTGAAGGCCAGAGTAAAAACATGTTTTTCGATGAATGCTCAATAACAAAGCTGCTTGACAAACAAACTGCTCTCCACAAGGAAGCAGCACTACTCTATGGAATCTGCGTCAGTTCCTGCCTCCAGGTTCCAGTCCTGATTTCCTTCAGTGATGAACAGGGAACTGTGGAAGTATAAGCCAAATAGACCCTTTCCTTCCAACCTGCTTTTTGGTCATGGTGTTTCATTACAAGAATAGAAACCCTGACTAAGACAATCTGTGTTTGTATGTGGGTGTGTGCATGTGAGTGCAGATGCCTGTGAAGTCTAGAGCTACAGGTGGTTATGAGCCAGCCAATCCTGGTGTTGGGAACTGAGCTCTGGTGCTCTGTAAGAGTATAACATACTGTTAACTTCTGAGACAACTCCATAGCTCCAATTAGGACTTCTTTAAAGTTTTTCAGGAAATTGAAATATTTAGCCAACTGTGGTAGCTTATGTCTGAAATCTGAACATGAGGCAGAAGGACTGCAATAAATTAAAAGGTAATCTGAGCTACATGGCTAGACCTTGTCACATACAGAGTCCCAGCTACATGAGAGGTTGAGGAGGGCCCAAGAATTCCAGACTTTAAGGTTAGCTGACTACATAGCAAGATCACGTCCTCCTCCCGTCACTGACCCCCACCTTAGAGGTCTTACTAGATAGTCCATGCTGGCCTCAGACTCATAGAGATCTGCCTTTGCTTCTTGAGTTGTGGGATAAAGGCATACACTCCCACACTTTATTCTCAGGTAGCAGCAAGCGCTCTTAACTGAGTCGTCATGCAGTCCACATATTTTTAAAATAACTCACTTTTTGAGAGAAGGACTGAAGAAATTAATTTGCAGTTAAGCTTCACAGTCCTTTGCTCTTCCAGAGGACATGCATTCCATTCCCAGAACCCACATAGTGGCTCATAACTGGCTCAAACTTCAGTTCCAGGGGACTCAATGTCCTGGTCTCCAAGGGCATTAGGTATACACCTGTTACACAGACATACATGCAGGCAAAACACCCATATACATGAAACAATTAAAAAGAAATGTTACACTAAAATAATTTTCTGGGCATGCCTTTAATCCCAACACTGGTGAGGAAGAGGAAGGAGAATTCTTTGAGTTAGAGGCCAGCCTGGTCTATAGAGAGAGTCCCAGGATAGTCAGGACTACACAGAGAAACACTGTCTCGAAAAAAAACAAGACAATTTAGGATTGAATTTAGGTCTTTGTGTTAGGCAAATGTCTACTAAGCCTTCTCCCCAGCCCTAAAAGATTTACTCTTAGGCACTCCATATTTTTGTAAACAGTACTTCTTACATTTCCATCATACTTTACTGCTATGACTTATAAACAATTATTTTAAAAGTCTCTTTTTTCTTTTTTTTAATTTTATTTTTTTCTTATCAGTTACATTTTATTAACTCTGTATCCCAGCCATGTCCCGCTCCCTCATTCCCTCCCAATCCCTCCCTTAAAAGTCTCTTTCTTACATTAGCAAACTTACTTGACATACAGGCAGAATGGGAGACATAGGCATGACTCAGGATCCTTCTGCCCTCCCATCTGAAGCCATGTCTGACAGATTCCATCCTTTTAGTGGAAGCTCATCTGCATCTCCTATGTTCACTGTCTGATTCCTAATTTATCTCTCAACCTTCAAAGTGAGAGATCTCTTCACAGTACTCTGTCACTGGTGTCCCTTTGGAGCCCTTCATAATCCCCAAGTGACCATCATTCATTCTCACTTATTTTCATGCATATCATGGTATCAAGAGAGAACTGTCTCCAGGCTTGTGTGTGTGTGAAGGTGCACACACTAAAATTTTCAGACTGTCCAGAAGGTGTGTGCACACTAAAGAAGTACCACTTGGGGTTGGATTGATGGCTCACTGGTTAAGAGCACTGTCTGCTCTTCCAAAGGACCTGGGTTCAATTGGCAGCTCACAACTGTCTATACCGCCAATTCCAAGGGATCTCACACCTTCACATTAATGCACATAAAATTATTAAAAAGAAAGAAAGAAAGAAAGAAAGAAAGAAAGAAAGAAAGAAAGAAA